AGGTTATTTTTCCAAAGGTTAAACTGGCTGCTGTTTGCACCAGGGTCCATGTTGTAACGCAGGGCATGGTAGAAGCAAAGGAGGAAATTCTCATTTTCACGTTTTGGTGTTCACAGCCTTAGCTCCTGGTGAGGCAGGCTGGGCCAGGTGTGAGGAGGCACCTCCTCTCTCCCACCTGACACTAAGCCAGGCTACAGAAGGAAGAGATGAGAAAGCTACACATTTTCAAAAGCTCAACAGGAAAAAAAACCCATCTCAGAATTCAGATATTATTATTATTCCACTGGTCTGTTCTGTGTCTCACAGGAAATAACAAGTGATTGTACAAAACATTTCAAATCCACAGAGGTAATTCAGGAATCCTGTCTTGTCTCAAAGTTTTTTCCATATTTTAAAAGCCATTCCTAAGGAAACAGCATATTCCAAGTGAAGCTGAAACGTGGCTACGATAGGTCTGAGGGACCTCGTAGCAAGACAGGGCAGACACAAAATTCATGCATGCTGGTCTGGTCCAATTTCATCTGGAAATTTAAAATAAAAAACAAGTGCCAGAGCCCCCTTTCCCTGAAAGTCACTTTAGAATTACTGTGAAAGGGAAATTGAAGAGCCAGTGCTCTCAGATTGAAAGTAAAACATCTGGGAGCACCAGCAGCACCGACTGCTCCTCCAGCACTCTGAAACAGCAATATGGAAAAGTATTGTTTGTCCACAAAACTGCTTCACACATCTCCTCCAAACATCACCATTCTGGCTCCAAAAAGGATAAATTTAAATTTGTGTTCTCTCCTACACAAGAAAATGTGATTTTTCTACAAGAACAGTCCAACATGGGCTGATCTAACAGCTCAGGACAACTGGAACATACCTTCACCAGAACTGTTCCCACCCTGCTGGAAGGACACAGTGGCCTTTTCATTCCCAGGACTGTTCCCACCACGACTCATTACAGTAAGAAGGTTTTTACTCAGAGTTCTGTTCCCATTACTGGGCCCAAAGGCGTTACCTGCAGCTCATTACCCCATCAATTAATGCCTGCACGCAATCATCATGAGCTACCAGGGCTTCAGCCTGCCTCAGCCCCACCGAGGGGGAATCAGCAGCTGGGGCAGCCAAAGGGTTAAAATCCCATGTCAAACAGCAAGTCCTGGCTCTGGACCAGCAGGGACATGGGAACCAGGGCAGCTGAGCTATAAAGGCCTTATTGTAGCAGCCCACTGGATTGGAAATGACTTGTAGGCCTAATGAAACAAAACTTTGGCAGTAAAACAGAATGAAAGGAATGAGACAATAAAAGAGAGGAACAAAGGGAGCAGAGTTGTTTCAGCTTAGGAAAATAAGCTCACTTTGTTGTTGGGAAAAGCCAAAGCCGATTAGGATAAACCAATGACTAGGCATAAGTCTTCCAAACTAATTACACAGTTGGCCATGTGAAGTGTGATTGCACAAGGCTGGGCTGCTGCTGCAGGAGCTGTGCAAGGAGCAGCACCTGGGCACACCTGGGCACACCTGAGCCCTGCCTGGGCACTGCTGCAGCCCCACGTGCAGGACATGCACGTCCTGAGAGCCCACAGCACCCAGAGCTTTCCTCTGCTGCTCACAGGGCTCCAGGTGAGGCTTGAGGAGTCTGCTGCATTTTTTTTCCTTTTTTTTAAACGATGCCTGATGCCTTAAATGCTCCAGCATGTCCCAGTCTCAGAGCTCCATCCTTCCTACCCCTCCAACAGCCAGAAGCAGGCAGATCTGCAGCCCCTGGCAGTACCATGGCCCCTCCAGAGGGGAGGAATGCCAGCCCCACTGAGCTCCCTGGGTCTCCTCAGCTCCAACACTTCTCATTTCAATTCTTTTAAAGCCTGGTCTCAGCAGCTTTTCACACCCAGCACAAGGGCAATGCTGCAGAGCCCAGACAGGTCAACATGGACACTGGATTTATTTTGTTTGTAAGAATGTTTGAAACGTCTTTGAAACAGGAGAGGATCCAGCAAACAACTGTCAGGATCAGGAGTAACGTAATGGCTTTTTTCCTTCTTCTTCTGATTGTAAATGCTTATGGCTTAGTTTGGTACTCTCCCAGCTTAGCCTTCCCATGTCCTCCATGGATTCTGCTCCCTGAAATGACTGGAAGGAGAATCCTTCCCCTCCTCAGCACCCAGACCCTGCCAAGCCTCTCTGGGGAGCCCTACAACAACTGCAGGTGCACAGGGCCAGCCCCAGCAGCTCTAGGCAGTCACAAGGCTGCTCACTGCACTGCTCTGTGCTTGTTCTCTGATGGCTTTTGGCTTCACCCAGGTCATTTTCCCCAGTTTTCTTCCACAGCTTACAGAAACTAAGGATGCCCACCTTCCCAGAAGGAAATTTGGGACTCCTGAGCTTTTAGGTAAAGAAAAAATAATCACTATGAGAAATCTTACAAGGGAAGTTTCAGGAATTATCACTGCCACATACTTTGGTGCTGTATCATCAGGCACTCCACTGGTGGGTTTACCAAAGCTTTTCCTTTTCTTGGAGACGAAGGTTCTGGCACTGACTTTTCAAAAAGCTGCAGTTTCAAATTCAAGCCTTTCCCCCCTTCCTGCCAGCTCCAGTCACACGAGTGAGCCCACCTGGCCCCAAAGCTGGTGGCTGCTGTCCCCACGCCCTGTGCTCTGAGAGCTACCCCCAGGCACCAAGGCAGCCTCCCCTGGCTGCATTGCTGCCCTCCACAGCCAGCACAAACACGACTGCAGGAGCTGCAGAGGTCTGGAAGCAATTTTTTCCACGCTGATAAATAAGCTGAGCATTTCAAAGAGCAAATCACCTGAGATGCTCTTACCAAACAGGGCGGCTCCTCGCACATTAATTGTGTAATGCAGTTTGCTTTGTTTTAAGAAAGCTCTGAGCTTGATGGAGAGCCAGGCTGTGTGCTGAGCACAGGCCCTGCCTCACAGGGCTGGGTCCCAGCAAGGAAGTCCTGGAGGGGCAGGGAAGGGGGATGGACAAGGACTGACTCCTGTGAGGTCCTGCAGCCCCAGCCCTGGGTCCTGTATCTGAACACAGCATCCCACTGACCACAGCATGCTAACAACTCTTCTAACTCAGCTGAACCACAGCTCCCCATTTCCGAGGGTCACTGACCACCTCCTGACAAGCAGAGCCCGAGGAGAAATCACCTCAAAACACCCTGAAACCAAAGTGTCCCAGCTGACAAAGAGCAGTGCTGTGGGGAGAACCCACCACCTGCACCAAGGTCAGGTCACACAGCCAGGCAGCCTCTGCTCCAAACACCACCAGCTTCACACAGCCTGAACAAGCTGGAGCAGGGACTGTGACACTGGTCACCTGGGGTGACAGCACCAAGCCCTGCCAGCCTGACCCCTGCAGGAGCTCAGCCTCAGGGGACACCCCCAGCTCTGCTGACATGGCAATGGGCTCCTACCTTGATCCCAACTCGTGCAATTTCAGCTCCTTACATTTTTTAGCCTGCAAAATTAAGACACTTGAAGAAAAAAACAACTAGATTTTTCTAGAGTACTGCCTTTGGGAAGGCAAACCTCTGCTAGGCTGTCTCAAGAATGGCAGAGCATGAAAGCAGAACCAAAGCATCCCGAATCCCCAGTCAGTCCTGAGACACAGCCTGGCTGCTGCATTCTCAGGGACTGTAAAATTGCAAGCATGAAACTACCAGATGGTGAAATTAAAAAGACTATATTAAGACAACATCCAGACAATATGCAAAGCACTTATATTGAAACTATTATTAACTTGAAAAATACAGGTTAGTGGAGTTCTGCAATTAGAAGTAACTACAGAAGAAACATCCAAAAGCTCGTGTAATCCTTTAATAAAAGGCTCAGCAGGCTGTAAACATCCTGCCGGAATCGAAGATTATTATTGAAAATAAAATGACTGGTTTGCAAAACAACTATCAATCCAGCACAGGAACCATTTATAAACTCGCCTCCTCAGCCCTCAACAAAATCCTGCCTGGCTCAGGCTTTTCAGGGCAGATAAAAGAAACATAAACTAACTACAAGGAATGGGAGCAGCTTTGCTCTGGGATACCCTGCTGTGTCCTCACGCAATCCTGCATCTGAAGCATCACCTGCTGCACTCCAAAGGACAGGAATGGAGCTGCTGCCTGGAACCCACGGAGCTGGAAGCCACGGAGCCCCGTGGCCAGCGGGGCTGGCACAAGGTGGTGCCACAAACTGCTCTCAGAGCAGGCAGCCCAGTGAGCTCCTCACCCACGGCACTCCTGAACAACTGTCCAGAAGCCCTGGGGACCCAAGGAGCTCCACGGAAGCTCTCAGTGTCACTAAGCACCAGCCACAGCCTGGACAGTGGGGCTTGAGCTGTTACATCACAGCAAAGACTATTCTGGCAAGGTTCAGACCTCCTTCTCTGCATAAACTTGTTTGTTTTGGGCTTTTGGTGAGGGGTTCTTTTGCTGTGGTGGTTGTTTTTATTTTTTTGTTTGTTTGATGGTTTTTTTTTTTTTTGTTTTTGTTTTTTTGGGAGTTGTTTTTTATTTTTCAATGATGCCAGCATTCTACACATACTTGCAGAAGGATTTTCTAGTAAGAAATTAAGTGGATATTCTAGTGACTTCCACATTACTCTTGCTTTTCACGTGGTTCCTTCAGGCATTTTCACAAATTAATGAGCTCTCCAATACGTCTACCTGCCCTTTTTGCCACTGGAATCGGGGCTAACAGAAGGCTGATTTTATGGAGAAGACAACTGTGTAATCATTCAGCTAAGGGTCACATTCTTCCTGAACAGACACAGATTCACCTCCCAGTGATGCTTTTTTCCTAGTGGAAGTAAACAGCGTTGGCAATGTTGTACACACACAAGCAACAAACAGAAAAGGAATCCCAGAGGCTTCAAGAAATGACACGGAGAGGCAAAAACTTGGCCCTCCTTTGAGCTCAGTCCTCAATGCACTTTTGTTTTTCAAAACACACTTCAAAAAGAGAGGGAAGAAAGAATAACTATGCAGTGCTCACTTGGGCAGAACTTACCTTGCCAAACTGTTCAAAGTATTGCTTCACATCTTCCACTACTGTATTAGCCGATAATCCACCTACAAATATTTTCTTTGTTCTTGTGACCATCTGTAAGAAATTACAAGACAAGCATATGGTTTAACCAGATTATTTCAAACAATACGTGGAAAAAAGAAATATTCTTCAGATCCCGTCCCTAACCCAGATAATGAGAATACTTCTTTACAAAAGCAATTTCAATTCGATTTGATTAGATACTTCTTTCTCTGTCTTGTTTTGTTTTTATTTGAGAGATGGCTGAGTAAAGGCTCTCAATAACAACTCTAGCCCCCGGATATTTTTTTTTAATAAATGATTTTTATTGTGCTTCTCAATGCAAATAAAAGTGGAAAAGGAGTCCAAGCACTGTATCTTCATAGCTACTGTCTCAAAGCAGAAGTGCCTTTGCCCCTCCTTTTCCTACAGACAGGCTGAATGCTCCTTGGCAGGCGAAGGCAATTACATCAAATCGAAGTGATGTGTTATTAAGTTTCCACGGGTCAGTTTAACAGGAACTTGCACCGCTACTTTTAAAGCAATCAAATGATGAAAGACAGCCAGAGCAGCGGACACAGCATGTGCAGCCACCAGAGCCCAGGCTGGTGGAACCCCCATCCCCAGGGCAGACAGCCCCCCCAGGAACCTGCCCGTGCCCCCAGCCCCAGTGAGCACCCAGCTCCTCCTGCTGCATCCCCAGGGAGAGCAGAGCAGGGCAGAGCCCACCGCCCACAGCTCCTGGGCACGGCAGGACAGCCAGGCACACAAACCCAGCCCGGCTTGGGGGGCTGAGCCCACAGCCTCGTGGGGTCCCCGGGAGCGAGGGCAGGGCCAGGACAACACTGCCAGCCCCCTCTGAGCAGCCCTGCAGCTGCTGGAGTCAGCCCTGCCCAGCCCAGGGGAGCAGCCAACACCTCACAACACACCTGGGCACTGAGCTCTGCAAACTGGGGGAAAAGACTTCCAGAAAAAAGGGGAAAAGCCCCTAACTCCAGAGCCAGGACCTGCCGCTTGAACAGAGGCACAGGGATCAGCCTGCAGGGCTCATCACCTCCTGACTTCTTCACCAAAAACTCTGAAGATGCCTCTGGTGAGGCTCCTGAGGCCACGAGGACGGCGCAGAGCTGCTCCACGCCGAGGTCACGCTGTCACACACGGGCAAACCCCGGGGCTGGGGCACACACAGAGCCCTCCCAGCACAGAACAAACGAATCCTCACTCCTGTCCCCACATCAGCCAGGGCAGACATCCCCTCAATCAGCTCCAACCACACCTTACACAGCCTCACTTCTTCTGCTTGGGTTTGTTTTTTTTTTTTTAAAGTTAGGAAGAAAAAGAGAGGAGGAAAAAAAAAATGTGTAAAAATTCAATTATTTTTTTCCTGGCTGCAATCTAGGGCTCCAAAATTGAAGCCCAAGCATATATTTTTCTGTAGAAAATTGTCATTTACAAATAAAGAATTGGCTAAAGCCGACTTGTAACTAAAGGATTTTGCAGGGCTGTCAAGAGCCCTCTGCCTGCCAGCATCTGATTTAAGATCAGGCCAAGCTTCTGTTGTCATACAAAAGAGGGAGGAAAGCAATTATTCTAAAGCAGTATTTGAAATTATCATCATTTTTATATTTGACCAAGAAAGAAAGCAAAAGAGAGCTACTGCTTTTAGAAGCAAGATTGAAGGTTATAGGGAAAAAAAAAAAAAAGATCACTTTGTTTCAATAGCTTCAGTCAAAGAAAATATTGGTAATGACAAGCAAATTCACAACATTTTAATGCCTAGAGATGCGTTGCGAGCTGGGAAATGGTTTCAGAAATCAGCTCTTTGGTACCGGAGCGAAGCACAAAATTAAGTCTGCTGTTACAATCCACATTTCCCTGAAGAGACTCTTCAATCGCTTTGCTCCCCGTTCCCCCAGCACCAGAACAGAACACGCACACCCTGACGTGCCTCTGCGGCAGGATTTACTGCCTCCCTTCCACCGGGGCACGGGACAGCACCGGGACAGCACCGGGACAGCACCGGGCAGCATGGAGCAGCACCGGGCACCGGGCAGCACCGGGGCAGCACCGGGGCAGCACCGGGGCAGCACCGGGACAGCACCGGGCAGCACGGCCTCACCTGGCCCAAAGCGCGGAGCCTGGGCAGCTGGGAGGGAGGCTGGGGACACGGGGAGCGGGGACATGGGCAATAGGGACACAGGGCAATAGGGACACGGGGAGCAGGAGTGACATGGGCAATAAGGGACACAGGCAGCAGGGACACGGGCATAGGGACAAGGGAAGGTGGGACAAGGGCAGCAGGGACCAGGAGCAGCAGAGACACGGGCAGCAGGGACCAGGAGCAGCCTGCTCCCCCTTGGGTGAAGGGGACACCCCTCACCACAGAGCCACTGTGGCTCTCAGCCCGGGCCAGCCCCTGCCCAGGAGCTGCCCTGCCCTCTGCCAGGTGAGCTGTCCCCACACCTGGCACATCTGTGCTGCTGTGGCCTCCCCACTCCGCAGCATTAGGCACCGTGTGGCACTGGGACACACGGCCTGGACACCTGGGGCACACCCTGCCAGCCCAAACTCCTCCAGTGAAAGTCACTGAGCATCTTTGCCTTCTCCTGTGAGTAAATTCAGAATATTTCTGGGGGTTGCTGACAACGATGGTGCCACAGAAGCCCTGGTGGGCTTGGACCCTCTGCCAGCAGCCCCAGCTGCCCTCTCCTGGGTGGAACAGTGGGCTTTGGGTAACAGGAGGCGATTTGTGTGAATCAATCACAAGCCCATGTTTTATTAAGGACTCCAGGAGGTCTGGGTCACTGTGAAACCACAATACCTGCAGCTCCGTGTCTCTGCATTCCGTTTGCAGTGTAACATATCCAGCCCTGGCTGCTGCAGGGCTCTGCAAGCCGTGGTACCAGACCCTTCTGCGGGGTTTGTGCACTGAAGGGGTCTCTCTCTGCCAGGAGAGGCAGATCCAGGGCTGGCGTGAGGCCCTTTAATTGTGAGCATCACACAACTGCTCTGTTTGTGTACGGTGCTGGTGCTGAGTTAATCAAAACACATGTGACTACTCCTGCGAGGAGGCATTCAAGGTTACATTCTCTTTACTGGCTCGGCTTTTGAAAAATATAATCGCCTTTGTGCTCTGAAACTGAGCAAACACTTCAGGAGGTGCAGGAGCAGGAAGAAAACCTTCCCTGCTTCAGCCAGGCAAGGCTGCTGGGTTTATGGCATTTGGTGCAAGGTTATGGCTGTAATCAGATCAGTTTGGGGCGTATCAGGTAAATCTCCTCTACACAACAGGCTGAAGATGCAGCCTCTGGGAACCCAAGTCCCACTCCAACATGTCAATACAAACGTGAGCTAAACCCAGGCTACCCAGTGAAATGAAGGAAGGTTGTGCAGGGCTGGGGGCTCCAGCTCTGAGCCCCTGAACACCCCTCACACTCACACAGTAACGCTGCTCATCATCTTCTGCGGCTCTTCCTCCCCCACCAAAACTGTCTTATTATCCTGACTAGTAAAAATGAAAAAAGAAGATTTTAATCTCATGAAATATTTTGGAGGATTCCCAGAATTTCAAAATCTCAAGCAGTAAGTACCCACCATTCCTTCTAGACGAGTCAAGGCCCTGTCTACATGCAACAAAGAAGTCACATATTTAACTTCAGGGTAATGGCTTTTGGTGTCATTTCCCAACCATTCTATACACAGCCTTTTAGCTGTCCCCCTGCCTCCAGTTTTAGTGCAGAGCTCCTGGCTCAGGATGGTGAGGGTGGAAAGGATGAGTGCTGACACAGAGAGGAGCCCGAGTGTGCCACTGGCAGGCCATGCTGGGAAGTAAAATCCATGTAAAATCCCAAAGCAGGAGACACAGACACACCCCCAGCACAAGGAACACCCCAGAACCTGTGCTGAACCCAGCTCTGGCACTCCCCAGTGTGGAATTCATCACTTTGAGGCTTTGCATCCTCAACTTCTCAATACAGTGGAAGTGGACTAGAGTACTAATAGTGAATCTGCATCGCAAATTGCAGAAATTAGCATTAATTTCAGATTAAGTTAATTATGCATACGCAACTGTTTTCCAGAGCACTCTCCTCTTTTGTACAACAGCATGTGCAGGGGTGCACGCGTATCCCAGCCTGCTCACCTCATCTGCAGTTTGGCATTCCATCATTTCTAGTGTATCCACCTTCTAAATAGGTTTATAATTGGAAAAACCAGCTTTGGTATCTGTGCTGAACTGCATTTTATACCCCATTGTGCTGTACATTCAAACTACAGCATTACTTCTAATTAAAAACAACAATAATTCATGTAACAGGGGAAGCGATCTTGTTAACAGAACTGCCAGGCTTCTTTGGCAGAGCACACACCATAAGAATTCTCCAGGTTTTTTTCATTTTCTGCCTCTGGGATCCCCCTAGGAAGTTCCAAAAAGCTATTAAAAACTCAACTGAAACGTGATGCAAAGACACGGGGGGAAAAAAAGGCAGTATTTAGTGAAAGCTGCCAACCTGTGTGTGCTCACAGAGAGCAGCCCAGAACCATCCTGTCTCCAGGTATTCCTGCAGAGGTGAGGAGCTGAGCTGGGCACCGAGCTCCATCCCTGCCCCACGCACCTCGTACTGCTCGAGTGTTCAACACAGGACTGCAGCAAGACTTCAACAGGGCAAATACCTCGTGCCTGACCCCTGTGTAAGCTCATGGCATCCTGTGAGAGCTGCTCGAGCTACAGAAGGGACGTGGGAATGAAAGAGAACTTTAATCCGAACGACCAGCACGCACTCCCAGCGGGGTAAATCAGCTCCCCTGATTTCTGGGAAAATACACAGGGCTTCTCTGCTCCCAACCCACTCAGAAACAAAACCTGGTCCCTGCTGTATTCCTGGATTTTGGCTGCCTTGGGTTCTGCTGTTACTGCTGGGAGGGTTTGTTGGTTGAGCATTTCCCTCCCTCGATGGCTGTGGCATCAGCAGGAGGCAGAACACACAAACTGATTTTTCCAAGACAGATTGAACTGGCAGCAATTGCCAAAGCCATCCTCGGCGTTTCACTAGCAAACCTGGCCAGGGGTGAAGCAA